ATTTCTAACTTTTTAATGAGTAAGAATAATTGACACCCTCAGATATCTGATCTACAGAGTTCGTATTGGTGAGCTTTTTCTTTTCGTAAAGCATTGTGATAGTTTCCTATTGAAATAATCATAAAACATAACGCCCTAAGATTAAGTGACGGCTGTGAACAAACAGCATTTCTTAATTTATCTCAGTCAACGAGTATTTACAGAATCAGCGACTGATTTCTTATAGACATATATATGCCTGAAGGATGAAAACAGTTCTTTGGCTTTACAAATAAAATTAATTAACTAGTTATTCATGTTTGTTGTAAGCCGTTTTCGATTAATTTAAATGTTGCAACTTATTCACTTGCTAGCTAAGTCTTATTAGTCAAATGTTGCTGTATAATATGTTAATAATTTTAAATAAAATTTATGGGCATAATATTTATTCAAATGAACTGCCCGGTAATGAAAACCATAGACCAAGACAGACTGGCCAGAATTTGCCACATCTATGTGTATTTAACAAATCAACGGCTCCTCTGGAGCCAGTTGTGTAAGACATGCAATTCGACAAGTCCTTCATCTCAGAGCAGAGCACTATTTGTCTTGGTTCTATTCCTGCTCACTTGGTGGACACAGGACGTCAAGTTGACTTGAATGAAGCTTTTAAGATTATCCATAATATCTCATCAAATTTACCACATGGTTTACGAGTTTGTCTGATGCATATTGCTGAAGCTATTGGAATTCATGTTCACAAACCTAACATTCACATCCGAAAGAAGTTTTTATAACCATTCTCTCTACCTTGGCCATCGGTTTTCAGCTAAGCTTTCATTAAATTCTTTCTTTCAAAAATATTCAGACAATTTTCCAATTTATCATCTCTAAAGATTGTGGAGTATCGACCTAATGTTCTGTATCCAAGAGGTGTTTAGTAATTGCCCTGTTCAAAGTAGTGGTCTCTCTTGTTCAGAAAATCTAAGATATTACCTCCTTTCTGTTCGGCCATTATAGCTGCTTTGGCAGGTACACGTAGATTTACAAAAACAGCTGGCGGCAACATGAAAGAGGTACTTGTCGATCTTTGATAGGGTTATTGAACATGTTGTTTTACACAGTAATAGTTTGGCTGCCCAGTAAGTTCTAGCTAATGTAATGTTAAGTCTCCTGCTGATTGTGATTGCGACGTCATCACATTTAAGGTTGAGATCCATAGATGCTGGTTTTTTGACTGCAGTCACACCCATCTTATTTTCCTTAGACGTTTTATATTTATCGATAAATTTGTATGGGAAGCAGTTGTCTTTAGGGTGTTTTTCCACGTTTCTCAATTCTTTCAGTTTGTCAGTGTTACATATCCTTTCTACTATACAAAATAGTTTTAACCAATGCGTTCTTGTGACTGATTGAACGGAAATTATTGAAATTCAGGTAAAGACCGTTCCCAATACCTTTTCGATAAACTGAACGTTAAACTGTCCTATCTCTACTCCGTTATATTGGAATGTCAAGAATGTACACACCGTTAACAAGTCATAATTGTACGGTGTTGTAACAATTCTGTTATTTGACTTCATAGATGAAGTAAATAATCCAAAATAAGAAAGATGGTGGTTTCTCCTTATACTTCACGAAATAATGATAATAACAGTAACGTAAGGAATTCGACCATGGCTAATGTAATTCCAAAGTCTACAACAAACATTAGGTTCACGAGTCTATACATTATTGAATGGTATAAACTGGTGACAACTTATATCGTGTTAACTAGTCCAATGATTGAATTCAATTAATAAATACGCCAGCAAATAGAGTACTTTTCGTGAACCATATAAAATTGTAAACGTATACTGAGTGACTTCGACAGCTTAAAGTAATTTTATACTACCATATTGTTATTAAGTCAACTCGCTAAAAAGACTATAACAATAATCATAGTTCCCTATCAAAAATGAGGATATACCACTCAAATTAATCAATCCGGTTTCTATTAGAAACGGTTGACAAGGTAACGTACAGCGAATCCCATATATATATGATTTGAGTTATTAAGTATGAAATAATGAAATTCACTGGGAATAACGCCTATTTGTTACTTTGGAGCATCATTCTCTTCGAGCGTGGAACTGTAGACGGTTCAAATACTACTACACAAAATGTAACAGCTAGTTTAACAAACATAGTTTTCAAATGCCAAATTAAAGATCAATACTGCAAAACAGTTACGAATAATCAATTAGATAAAACCGAATTAACTACATTATGGAGAGTACTTTATGAGATACAACAAATTCTAACTGGTTTCCATTGCTCAAGGGTATATAACATTTATAAATGTATTATTGGATAAAATTACTTATAGTTACCTGGTTTGTTGATAAAAAGATTGTTGTAACACACTTTTATACTATCAATATTTATTGTAAATTTCTGTTGCTCTGAAATGGTAATTTGATGCGTTTCTGACAAACTTATTATCATATCTCCCTATTACTGGTATCTAATGAGTTTGACAAAATCAACCTTTTAGGTCTATGTATAGCACCAGCAGTTTTTGTAAAGCCATGTATAACGATATCAGTACATAGACAGGATTTTTATTGCTTAGATTCGGGTTTTAATCAAGGAGATGCAGTAACAGGGTGCAGATGTCGGTGATCTTTCTAGATAAACATTAGGAATCTGAACTACTTAATGAACTCATGTACCCGAGTAACCATATCAGCGTCGTTGCTATTACGGATCACTAGCTTCATATATCGATCATAGGTAATGAAAATGTAACAAGGGTCACCGAAAAACTGACAGGTGGACGTTTCTGAGAGATCCTATCGGATGGGTTTCGTGGTAATGATATTGGAGTCTTTCTGACCTCCCTTATGTTAATTTAAAAAACACGGAATTCCCAAGAATCTTGCTGGTTTAGATTAACGTTGGAGAGGTCGTCAGAGAAACGGAACCAAGTGTCAAACTTGGTATTTCCAAAAGGATTATAAATAAACTCGGCAATATTGTTGTCAAACAGTGCCAGAGCATTTGCTCGAGGAAACACTTCTTCAGCATTCCATAGTGCACACTCGATGTAGTATGAATATTCCAGTTCAAATAAATGTTTGTAGAGACGTGACAGTCTAAGCGTGAGTGAACGAGATCAAAAGTACATTTGTTCGATCCACAGACGAACACTGTCGACGAGACATATACAAGGACGAAGCAGCTGTCCAAGTTTTCGATGGGTATCTAACGTTTATCAGTTACTGACCTGAACAGGGTTCCATCCTCATTATTGAAGCAGCGGATGACAAAAATTGTATATGAATCCTCAGCAGACAAACGTCGTTGAGTTTCTTGACTTTCACAAGAGATCAGATACGTTCAAGTATCAGGGTAAAATTTCTTAACTCCAAATTTACTACAGTAGGAGGGACTATTTATTTATTTTAACACATAAGTATAGGTACAGGGAGGCACCAAATACATATGCGCCACACAAATCTCAATTGATTTGTGTGAGGGCTGTGATACTGTCCGGGTGCCCAAACCGAAGCAGGTGGTTTTCTTAGGGGGCCACACCCCGAGCCTTTGACCTGAACGTCTGACCCACAAGGCAGTGGAGCATCGTGAGGAGATGCAGTCCCATGGTAGCCGGTGACCAACGATTGGTTCATACGCCATTTGTTCCCGCAGGATACTGGAGCCCATGTGCACCATTGGTTTGGGGTCCGGTTAAAGCGCCAGACATTCGCTTTTCGTCCTCTCATTTTTGTAAACAACACCCCCGCCACGAGAAGGCAGTGAGTAGGACTTCCCTGGCAGAGGCTATATACGCATGGCCATGTGAGAGCATTTCGAGAGGGAGATCGGACTCTCCCCACTCTCGGCCGTACCAGGGCATTTGGGGGCAGGAGGGACTATTTTTACCCAGCCCTAACTAGAGTTCAATTTCCTAATGGAAGCTCTGTTAATGACAACCTCAGAACTAAAAATACATTTCGAATTATTCCGTTATTTAACAGTTAATGATTAAGACATACGGACAGTCATTCTTACTATATATAATCGTAGTAAAAAACCATTGGGAATTAATAAATTAATGTAACAGAATTGTGATGAAGATTGACCTTAGATCCACCTCAAATCAATATCGGTTTTAGGGACTACATATCCATAACAGGACTATAGAATTGGAAAGCAGATTATGACAGTTGCCCCGGCAACTAAACAAAATACAGTCAACCCATGGTCTCAGTGAAGACCACAAAAGCAATAACCATAAATAAGACCTAGGTAACTACTGACACTTTACCATGATTCACAATTACACATAGATGAAAATAGTTGGTTGACCGTTCACTACCGACTACTTCGAAGCAACTCATTTGGATTTGGTGAGCAAGGACTTAATTGTTTGGAGTGCGAGTGACATACAAAGCCGACTTTTTAATCACCCGTGACATGCAACTAAATATAGAACAGTTACATAACGTAGTTATTTCTGTTGGTTAATAACTGTTGATTTCATGACATTGTAGACATGCAACCACATAAGTTACTAATTAAGGTCCAGTACAACCCTGTCCGATCTATAGCGGACTGATTGTTAACCAATGTAAATAATTCTTAAGAATGAGTGGATCCAGGCATTTTATTGGGTGTAAAGTAAACCCTCATTTATCATCTTAATTGGATAGTCCGACACACACTTCTACTGTCAAAGCACCACGACTCGCTGTATATAATTATTTGCGAAAAGACAGTACAGGAATAAATTTGCTCGCAGAGGAATTCCAATGTCGTACGTGAAACCTGAAAAACAACTACGAAAGGGAATCTACTCAAAACCCAATCAGTTAGACAGGAATTTCCTTACTAAAATAAAAATATTCAGGTCAAGTACTTAGAGAGAGGGTATTCCAACTAGCTATGACGCCAAAGATTTTGTCAAATAATAACCTTAGTATAAAATCTCGCTACAACCCACAGAGCAGTTAAATTGAGATTTATAACAACAAATCTGATAAGGTTTAGAAAATATTTATGAACTTGACCACATTAAAAATATTAACTTGTTTTCCTTTTGACAACTGTAATGAACTCAGATATGATGAATGTGAAGCGTATTTATGTCACCTCCAAGTCATACAACGTTGATAAATGGAAGCTAAAGTATCATGTTTATCCAACTGTTTATCGAGCAAGAAATACAATCATGAATAATTGAGAACCAATTAGTGGCTAACTAGACGTCTTGCTACTGTAATAAACGTACAGCAAAATAAACAGCACGAGCATAGTTATAAGATGTATATTTAATACAGCGTAAAACGCTTCATAAAGCTGGAATGGACATTCTACCATTTGATGTGGATCGTGACAGTTTACAGAAGTGAAACCATATACAAAAAACAGAAATTATACACCAGATCACGCTGAAGAAAACCTAACGCCTTGACACACGACCAGCTGATCTTGAACGGCGACGTCGACTCTTGGACGGTGAATGAGAACGTGATCGACGTCTTCTCCCATAACGTTTCTTGCTCCGATTGTATAATTTACGACAAAGTTCTCTGGAAATGGGTTTCAAATGCATGAAGTTGCAGAAACCACCCCTTGTACATTCTCTGGAGGAAATTGAGACGGAAACACAACCTTATGATTAGTAATTTAATTCAGCAAACTAGGAATTCGGAAAAATATACAATCCAAGTGCAAGCATAGATAAAAAGGGTCGTAATGTGGACAATTTTACTACTAATTAAATAAATCACCCCACACTATTTGTGACCGCCCAAATAAAAATTGTCATTTACGTTGGTGGGACGTTTGTGTTAGTTAGTCATGATCAGCATGGAACCTGAGCACAATTGTATCAGCTAGTTACTGCTAACATGCAACGAAAATTTTGTAGATCAAACATGACTTAAACAATTTCTAGCCAGATGAATACAGTTGTCATAAAAATGGCAACTAAACCCAATAGAAGCATAGTCCAAAACGACTACAGCCTATGAACCCCATGGGAAATATAAGTATAACCACCAGTTGAATCGACTTGAATAAAATGCATTGAACTCATTACTGATGAGAACTCATATCAATCATACGCAACGTAAACATGGTACATATAAACATCAGTTCAAGTTGCCACAAGAACTCATGACGAATTTATAATACTCTGAAATCACATCAAATTGACTGAAGATTAAATGACTATTAACAGTACTGTATAGAATATTGACAAGATTACATAAAAACTTACCCCAGTTCATACTGACGACAACATGCTTCACGAAAATCTGTGACAGGAGAAAGCTCGGCATGAACTGGTCTTCCACCAAACCAGCGTTCATTTAAATCCTGAACAGCTTTTTCAGCATCTTCTTCACGCCTGAACTATAAACGTGTAAGAAGTATTACAAGGAGCTTACTTTTATATAAACGTTTCCAACTAGATGATCACCAAGATTATCACACACATTCATTTCCTCTATTTCCCCATACTAAAAGAGAAAAATTTACTACACAAAAATCTACCTTCTCCTCACATTCAACAAAGACCTCCTCGAAAAACTCGTCGAAGATTTGCTGAGCTTGAACTTCCGTAAGGTTGACTTTTAAGGAATAAAAAATGTTTTCACCAATAAGTTGGGAAGAATTGTTATCCAACTTGTGAAACTTAAATCAGTAAATAAAACCAGTGACTGGCATGGCTAAAAAAAACCATTGTCAAGACATCTACAAAGCTTTATGGTTGCTCATAGCTGAGTGGTCCTGGTAGTCAATGCATCTAACGATCACTGGATTTCAGCCAACCAGCTGGACAGAGAACTTGAAAAAAAGTTGTATTTAAAAAACTCAACTTACACACATACACCCTAGTAACTTGTAAACAAACTGATCAAAATCTACCGTCTCTAGGGAGATGCCTGGATATAAGCTGTCAAAATACCATAAACGACTGATATGATTTACTTGCACAGTTTATATTTTATCTAGGTGCATAAATCCTGTTAGTGATCCACGCTTAATTATTTATTATGGGTGCTTATTCAGTACTAAATACTGACAACTGAAACACCTGTGCCGCTCTTACCATTGTTGCGTTCATCCCGAAGATTTTGCTAGTAACTAAATCTTACCTAGGACATTCACTATTGCATTTACTGTAGTTGTTGCAAACGTACTTGAGCAAACCTTCTGAAGTTCTGTTTAAAGTCAGTTGTTTTTCATTTACATTACCGTTAATTAGGGAGCAGCCGTTTTAACTAGTTCAGAAAAATATACATAGAGGTGGATGTAGAACCATTGTAAACTTGAGATTTGAAATTGTCAAATCCAAGATGCCTTTAGGTACAAAAGTTAATCATCCTTATTACTATCAGTAAAGAAACTTGAGTAGATCCATTAGTTATCCGAATCAACAATTTAAACGGTTGCTATATTTACACGCTGAATGACTAAGCGTACTGTTACTGCAGTAACTATTGGCACAAGGTGTAAGATATAGGAGTGTGAAGGCGACCGGTCATTATACGTATATCTAAGGGATGACAACCGAATTCCTGTTTCTACTAATGCAAATAGTTTTGGGAACTAGATCATATCACTCCTGTTTACATGTGCTAAAATAAATCAGCTTATGGCAAACGAAAGGTAACACGCCAAGAACTCATGTCACCCACCAATACGTTTAAGAAATGATGTATTTCATTGTAGGAGGCTCTCTTAGCAAAGACAGTGTGCATAATTTACGGACCATACTTCTATGCACATTGAGACTTGTTTTACGAATGGGTTGTAGACATTATTAAAACAGCCCTCAAATGCTAACAAGAATCCTAGGAAACCCGTTTCGTATACTAACATAACTCGATGTGAGCATAGTCTTGTTTTCCCAACGAGGGAGAATGTCCACTTACCATAATAGCGAGAGTACCTCAGACTGCAAATAAACCCCTTCAGATTTTACTTGACTGTTACACTAGACTTGGTAAAAATGAGTTATCTACAAGGGACTTGATATCACGTATGGTTACTGATTAGACACCTAATCAACAAAGATTTTTAGTGAAACACAAGTGTACTTACAGACATTCCTGATAAATGATCAGCACTGGCCTACTTGGTCTTATCGGTCATCCGCGCTGACGTTAAATTTGATTAAGCGGTCCAAAAGTGTACCTAAAAATTGTCATTCCTGCTCATCTTTCTGATCTAATACCCATCTGTTTATTCTATGTCTAAATGCTAGTGCAGAAAAATATTTACTGGAAGACATACCTAAATATCACACTAGTCGTGCCTAAATACAATCAGATTTTTTAAAATATATAACCAAAAAACACTACATAGCTTACTGTGGGACCCATCAGCACTCTGCGCTGTATTTTGAGGAGCTATATACAGGTTTTGTAGCAAAATAGTCTATGCATAAAAAAGTTGAGAACCAATTGTACCTGACCGAAAGACGGTTTGTTATGAAGTCTTGAACATTGCTCTCCATGTCGGCATGCACCGATTTTGAAGTAGAATGAGCAGTTTACTCTGCAGCAACAAATAAGTTGAAAAAGGGTTCCTACTTATCCTTTTCCGTACCAAATATCGATGCTAAATACTCCGCCATGTTCTCGAGGATCAAACTGCGCCTCTTTTCAGGACGGAATAAAACAATAAACCCGCGAGATCAGAACTACAATCATTAAGATCGCTTTACCTGTCGAGGTGGAACGTATGCGACTGCCTTATAGTAAGAGTTTTATTCGTAGTTGTTTCTCTTCTAACATCTAATACCTTTGTTGAGAGTTTGTTTAAACCGACTAATTTCTTTGTCTTCTATCCGTGTTGTTTCGCTGCTGACCCCAGTCTCTGAAAGTGTTTAACAGATGGTAGTCTAGCCATTTGGCTTTACCACTTCAAGTCATCTTTGTAGTGAGTATGTGTAATGTGATCTGAATTAGTCAGTTTGTATCATAGCACCAAAGTTCCTGTGACCGCAGCATTCACACTACTAAGCAGAAGTTTAGTTGGCTGAAATATAATAAATAATCAAGGGAAAATTTCAATAAATAGTGACCGATCTTGATTTTAAAAAATGTAGGAGCTTATTTATGTTTTTGCTCTTTGATGTGAGATTTCATATGGTTGCCTCGCTGAGCGTGGTTGTGTCCTTGTTGACGTATTTTAGCTTACCAAGCATATTCAGTAGTTATCAGATCATCCCTAATTCTCTTGGCCACATTTATTTCTAAGCTCCATCAACAACATATTTACTCGTCTCCGTATTTGGTCTAAAATATTTGTGTTTCTTGAAAAGGAGGCTAAACGACTTTATGTACTACGAGATGAGAGCTTGAGTATGTTTTCAAGTGTCAGAAATAATTCTGGGATGAGTGCGTCCATCTATATTTGCATAAAGTGAAGAGTAGGATTTGTTGCAGCTGTATCATAACATACTTTCAGCTAATTTATGTGCCCTCTATTATTAATCGTTCTAGATTACACTCTGAGATTGCCAGTGGATTTTCATAGAGAGTGTAATTTCTTCTTGTCCTAAGGAAATGGACATTCGCGACTCTATATTTTGACAGGTTAACTGATAATCTGTTTTCCTCTTTCCATCTTTTCGTTGTTGTGAGGTCACTTAAAAGCTCAAGTAAATATTTTTAGTTTCTTATGGAACTCCATATCTTGGTATCGTCAGGATACACGAGAGTTGGTGAGTTGAATTCGTCTAGTTGGTCACTAATGAAAATCAAGAAGAGTAGATGACCCAATATAGTTCCTTGTGAGACTTCGGTTTTTCAAGAAGTGTTGAGACCAGAGTAGAGGTAAATTAGCGAAATACCTCCTCGTGTGCCTTGTTATAAAGAATCCGTTCAGCATAAAGCCAAACGCTATTGTGAAGAAAAGAGGTGTTACAGACCGGTACCGTTTGGTCCCAGCAAATTTTCTGACCGTCCCATGTTAAGTGGAGATTAGACACGGGTTTTGGCTTATCTAAACCCACTTTGGCCTTCATTGTGGACGCTGTTATTGTTTGCGCATTCTCTAATTTGACCACTGGACGATCCTTTCATTAAACTCGACACTATTGCGAATAATGTGACTGGAGTGTAGCAGGTTAAGCCTTTCCTATCACCCCTTTCGGAGATTTTAGAGAGTAACCTGTGACTTTCGTATATGGAAGGCTTTAGTTTGGTATTGACTCACTGAACGCACTTCAGAGAGAATATTATGCTCTGAAGAAATGCTGTTGTGATCTGAACATAAAGACACTTTACACACAAAAGAAGTTGCGATAATGCTGTCCAAATAAAACGGAAAATCACTTATAAGATGAAAATCTCATAGATCTAGAGTTATAAAAGGAATATCTAAAACAAAGAAGGAAGGAATTATGATGAATGTTATCCAGAACTATGCACCCACTAATAATAGCAATGAAGAAGGTAATGATCAAATTCATAAGAGGCTACAGTCGCTTTAGAAATGAGCTGACGATCCTATCGCGAATGTTAGAATGGATAACACCAGATATGGAGATGTTGTAACGACCGAAATATCAATATTCGGTTTGGACGCAGAACTAACGTACCAAAAGTTGTTCGATTAGGACAAACCATATTCTTCCGTATCCCATACGAAGTTTTTTTAGTGAATCGCATTAAATCATACAAAAACTCAAACTGCGTTAAATTTAAACAGACCTAACTTAAAAGACTAAATTATAACAAAGATACAAAATATCTCAAACGGTACGGCTTGTGCTATACTGCCAAGGGCTTATCCGGCACAAACTGACGTTCTAAACAAAAAAATAATTGGTAAACAAGAATTCGATACCTGAGCACCAATAAAGTTATTCCCAGCAAAATGGGATCAGATATCTATCTGGAGGGATCCCAGCAACAATTAGAGGTAAACAGTTGTGCACTGAATCACGCCATGACCTTTAGTATCGTCAAACACGACCTTACTCTCAATGGTCTGGCAACATGCAACAGAAAATCGACCAACAAAAGACGAATCTGTAACAAAGATCAGTTAACAAATGCTCGCCAAGGAAGACTGAATAACATAATGCGTGGTTAAAAAGAGACGCTGATAAGGGTTGAAATACAAAACAAAAAGTAAATGACAATACTGTCCAGTGAAGTGAAGTAGAGGGATTTTCTACGTTTTTCCGTTACGGATATCATGGGACAACATGGACATAGGGAAAGGAATGACAATGGTGAGAGATTTATGAATTTATGTGCCTTGTGCAAAATGGTTATATGCGCCATTACATTCCACCCACAAACACCCATAGTTGCATGGGTTTCGCTAGATTACATCACTGGGAGCCAAACTGATCACATTTATATCAACCAATATCCAGAACGCCAGTAGAAGACGTGAAAACCAAGAGTAGAGTTGACAAACATTGGGCAACCAAAGAATTGGCATTAAAAATGTTTGGGACGAACGGTATTTAGATACCCTAAAACTGCAACAGGTGCCAAGCTTTACAGGATCTACTGAAATAAGAGGAAACTACTATCTAGGACAACTGGAAAGAGATCAAAAAGGTATTAACTTCAACTTGCCAGGAGGTGCTGTACCACAAGAGGCACCACCATAAAGAATGGATATCTGTTGATATTCTGAGAAGGATTCAAGAAATAAGGAACTGGAAGACAAAAGTCAAAAACAGCCGGACGAGAGAAAGGAAAGACAAATTTGGAGCTGGTAAGCGAAAATACTTAGCAATGACAGGAAAAACGTTGCAAGACAAAAAATGTGAGTTCAACATATTAACATAATGGAGAAGTTATATATAGTAAAACAGAACGATGATTAAAGAGCAAAACAAACTAGTCCCTGAAATTAAAAGAAACGGGTGAGTAAAGCGTTTTGAAGAACTCATCGAGAGACCAGTCTCTCTGAACCCACGTGACATCGAAGTAGTACACACAGACCTTCCATAGATGTTGCTTCACCAATAATAAAATGAGTTAACATGATCACCAAATAGACTAAGAGAAGGAAAGCAAAGGGACCATAAACATTCTAGCCGAAGCACTAAGTGTCATTGATAAGCAAGGGGCCCGTTGCCGATATTAAGTAAAAGGATTGGCAAATCAAGAGCAGACTTTCTGCCATTCAAGAACATCTGGAACTTAAATCAACTGTCAACCGACATCAATTTCATAATATTCAACACGAACATAAAGACGGATCTATTATAGGAAGCCGAAACTTAGAATACTACCACAAACATTACCGAACGGTTACTGACGCTTGTGACCCCTTTGGACACCATCATTGAAAGTGTGTTATAATTACTACCTCAAATATTGCCGGATAGATATACATAACTGTTTGTTCTCTGAAACCATCATCTGGGTAATAAGAGAGTGCTCTTGATAGCGTAAATAAACGGCCTCTGCCTATTCCTCTGAGGCTTAAAAAGCAACATCGGTGGTCTCCTGAACTAAGTACAGAAACGGACGACCAAGTGGCTGATAGGTCTAAAACATAGATCTTACAAGGACTTACCACAAAACCTGGATATATTCTCGTTGAGCTCCTATGATAATTAGAAGTAATTGAATTATAGTATGAACTAAGAATCCCAGGGATAACGCAATTGAATCAAGAAGTACTACACAAACACTAAGTAATGTACTATATTTAGAATTCGAAATCAAACATTCAACAAGTACAAAGGAGTCATTAGTTCATTCAAACACCACATCCGCCACAGCTTAAATTAGAGTCTAAGTGTCTGTAATCAATTGTACGTCTTCTCCTCAAGTTCATGCTGTGTCTGTCTGACAGTGTATTGGATAAAGACTCTGTATTATCTAGAATGCACTCATTAGTATTAGAATTAACAACTGAAATCGGAACAGACTCACCTGGTTCCTGGAATTGTATTTGATCAACATGTCGATTGTGTGTACTTAAGTCATTGATATCTAGAAGTCGCACCATAGATTTCCCGACATTCTTTAGAACAATCCCCGTGGATGGTCGAAGATCATCGCCACGATAATACGTAACTTCTGCAGACTCCAAACATCTCATATTCGACCGAAGAAATCTTCCTTTTAATAGTTTTGATGGAGTCTCTTTCGTCACCGAATGTCTGGCATTTCTATATTGCAGTAGAAAAGTATCTACTCCCCTCTCCAGTTCATTAAATGTTGAGGCAGCAATAGAATCAATGGCAGTTTTTAACGTCCTGACAAAATTTTCTGCCTGACCATTGGAACAAGGATGTCTGGTAGCAGTAAACAGATGTTTGCACTCTATATCAGTTCACCAGGTAGTGACTGCATCTGCAGCAAAATGCCAGCCGTTATCAGTCACTAACACCATTGGAACCCATTCTCGACTAAACACCTTTCTTAATGCTTGAATTGGGAAGTCAGAATTTGGTGAAGTTGTGAAAAAAACTTCAGGCCACTTTGAAAAAGAATCAATAACTACAAGCGCATAGTATTTGCCAAGAAACGGACCACAATAGTCTGCATGAACTCTCTGCAAGGCCTCAGACGATACTGGCCATGGAGTCCACTTCGAATGCTGATTTTTCAGCTTATGACACTTTTCACAATTGTTTGCTGTACAACAAATATCTGCATTTGTCTCTGGCCACCAACATGTGAGCCTCGCCAATGACTTCATTTTCTCAACACCTAAATGTCCACTATGAAGATCTTCAAGAACAGATTTACGCAATGAAGGAGGAATAACAACACGATCATTTAAGCACAAAATACCATCAGGAGTAGTAGATAGCTCATCT